TTAAATTGAAACAAAAAACAAGGAGGGGGAGCTGGCATAAGGTGGTAAATATGTTAGCTTTCATAAGCATGTAATAACACAAAATTTATTATTCCACATTTTACAACTTGGTTGATTTTAGATCTTCTGTGGCCAGGCTGATTTTATTGTCCTATAATTCTCAATTCTGTGATTTGCGTTTTCTCTAGGCTTAAACAACTCTCCCAATTGCTTATGACTTTTCGGTTGCTACAAGGGAGTCGTTATACACAGATGGCTTTTAGGAGGGGAGTCAATTTAGTAGGTATTTTTCCTTGATTATGATGTGTTCTCTCTGCACTGATTGTTATAAAAGTGAAGATTCTTGCATGTCAAATGGTAAAAATGTTTCCAGGATCTGAAAAAAGGAAGAAACATTGCATTTGGCAGAAGATCTCTGTATGACTACACTCTGATGAAAAAGCTGCCTGTTTCCTTTAATTTATTCAGGTAAATTTTTATAAGCAATGATAAAACCAAACCAACATGAGGCACCAAAGGGAAAAGACTGAGCAGAATTTGCAGCTGTGAGTAGATATTGATTTGAGCATATAATTACATCCACCTTGTTACATGGTCTCATTTTCTTCTCCTGCAACCTTGCAAATAAGTATAAAAATCTTACCTGACATACCTTGCACCCATTTTTTATACTCAATCAGTGATCTTTCCAGGAGAACACAGTCATGAAAAGAAATAAATACTTTTTATTTGAAGCTGATTTTATTTCCTTTCTTATGTTAACTTTTAAATCAACATTTTGTTTCACTATTATGCAAGCTTCTCATGGAACTATGAGAGAATAAAACCAATATTTTTCACTTAAATTTGCCTGAGATAAGACCTTATTTATCCAGAAGACCTTTAGTACAGACCTATTTGAAATAAAAGAGATGGGAGACCAAGACTGTTATTTTACATTCAGATATTTTTGTGATCTATATCAGGAAAGTTATGTCACTGTATTTGGATGGACTTCTTCCTTAGGATTAAGGGGGGAAGTAGGTTATAATGGATGATTTCTCCAGTTTAATTCCAATTGAGCAAGGTTTTCTAATCAGCTGTTAGAAGTAGCCTTTGTCTCCAAATTTTGAGAACCTGAAGTAAAGCAAACTGTGTTCCTGCTTGAAAAAGTCTCGTCCCAGAGGTCTACAAATAATACTCAACAGTTGTTGAGTATTTACGGTGTGTCAGACATTATGATAAGTATTTCTCATGTATTTTGTTTAATCCTTATACAAAGCTCAGATTGAATTACTCCTTCTTCGATGGCAAGGAAATTTAAGAACAGAAAGATAAACTTGTTCCAGGCAGCAAAGCTTGGTCATTTAACAATGTTGTTTTCCCTTTCTCTTTTCCCCTGTGTTATTCTTCTGTCCAGCTAGTTTCACCTCAGGTAAATTCAAGTAAGTAGTTCTTCAAACATTAGTGAAAAATAGTTGAACAAAAAAGACATCTTCTTCCTGATCACCTTCATATCACTGCTGATGGAACCTGTAGTAGAGGAATTGCAGTGGTGGTAGTGGTGGTGGTGTTGGTGTTGGTGGTGGTGGGGTGTGTGTGTGTGTGCATGTGTGTTAAAGCTGTGTCTTTGCTCTACCTTAGCTGAAGCCATTTTGGGGGAGCGTCTGGAGCACACCATTTATTTTGTGTTGGTCAGACAGTCTGTAGTATACTTATGTAACAGATCCTTTCTACTTGCCTGGCTTTCCACTTACTCCTCAGTGTGATTCTGCCTTGTTTGGATTGTGTCTAGATGTCCCCCCAAAGCCTCACGCAGTCATAGATGGGTCTTTTTGAGGTGCCTGAATCTAGAGTGTGACACTGGAATTGATTCATAATGCAATGCTAGGATCAAGATGATAGGATTAAGGTGTGAGTGTTATCGGCCCTAAGTAGCCTGGAAAAGATAAAAGGGATAGAAAGAGCTGTGATTGGCCCTTGTTGATTTGTTACCTTCTGCTCTCCATGAACAGTTTCTCCTCTGTAATGCCTGTCTGCTGTGCCACCCTGCCTTGGAGCCAGATGATTATGGATGGAAACTCCTACAAACTATAAGATAAATAAACCTTTTCTCTTTAAACTTTGGGTGTCAGGCATTTTGTCTCAGCAATGAGAGAAAAGTAACTAAGACATACCACAAGTTCATGAATTCCTATGTGATTACTCTTCATTTCCCTCTTCACAATTTTACCTCTTGAAAATGGATACATAAACACATAAACCCTTCCATCTCTCCATCGCTATATATAGTGCTCTTCCTCCAAATCTTGGAGTTTCTATTTACTCACCTGTATTTTAATTGTGAGGATTCTCTAATAATTAACCCATTTTTACATCTGTTAGAGATATTAAATATCAAAATAATTGTTTTCAGCTAAATTAGCTTCTCAATTATTAAAGAAATCATTTTTCTTTTGATGCTATGTTATTTCATTCATACTATGCTAACAATTGTAAAATGGCTTCAAAATTGGAAATATAATGATAGAAATACCGTTCTGCATTTTACATGCTTTTTATTTTATGAAACACTAAAAATTTAATACAATGTTATTCTCAATTTATATGTAGGGAAAAGGAGTCTGAACAGGATTGGCAGCAACATGGTATTTTATTCCCAGGTCCTCATCTGCCTCTCACAGTGTCCTTTGTCTGTTAAACCTGCTGCTGCTGTGGTATGGATATTTACTGGGATGCTTTTTCTTCTTTCACTTCCATGTTTAGTTCAAAATCTATTTGATTAGCTGAACTTTGTTTTCTTCTTCTCTAAATGAAGACAGCTTTTTAGATCTACCTATCACATATAGTTTTGAATTAAATTTGAGCTTGTATTTGCTTTTTATGTAAGCCTTATTAATGTAAATGTTATGGTGTTATTTCAACATTCCCTGCCCTCTCATATCTAGTATATAAGGTATAGTTTTCCTACTTCAGAGCATGTAAGGTTTCCTGGAGGGAGTTAGGTAACCAATAGATTCCTGGGTCTAGTTTTCAAAAGTTTCCAAAGAGTAAGTAGTATGAGGCTCAGTGCTATGGTTTGAATATGGTTTGTCCCCCAAAGTTTCATGTGCTGAAGGCTTGGAGTTAGGGTTTAGATCTAATATGTTACCCAGAAGTCTCCTGTTTGTAGATGGTGATTGAATCATGGAGGCATTTATACATGTGAGTGGATTTATCTATTATTGAGTTCAGTAGCTAAATCTGCTGTTAGGAGGTTGGAGGTGGGTCACTGAGTGTATGGCCTGCAAGGTTGTGTTCTTTTCCCCAGATCCTCTTTTCTTTTTGCTTCCTGGTTGTCATACACTGAACAGCTTTCCTGTGCTGTGAATTCTGATGTGCTGTTTCTGCCTTGGAGCTGTTACAGAAATCTTGGAAAGAAATACACAGAGACACAGAATTTGGATAAAATAATAAAATTCCTTCTTGAGAGTGGACTGGAATGCCAGAAACCAGTCTGGTCAATATCCACCCCCTTTGTCCAGCATTTCCCTTTTTATATCCTTTTTAGCCATTATCTCATCCCTAGTGGTCTTTGATGTATAAATGCAATTCCAGTTCCTATTTACAAGTCACAGACACAAGTTAGGCCATATACATTGTAAATTCACCCTGGCATGGTAACTTTGTTAGGTTAATGAAGTTACTAGTTAGAGTCAGATAATCCTCACCTTTAACAAGGAGTTACAGGAAAAGCAAATCTTAAAAGAACACATTACTTATTTTGCTTCTACAACTACCTTAATATTCAATCTATTAAGTTATCTAAAACTTTTCCGTATCAGAGCCAGTTGACCATGGACTGAATATAATGAAACTGTGAACATAAATAAACCTTTCCTATTTTAAATTGTTGGTGCCAGTGACAGGTAAATGATGAAGACACCTGGTCCCCAGTCTCACATTTTAAAATGTGGGGCCTAGTGGGAGGTAATTAGGTCATTTGGTGAGGGAGATTAATGCCTGTCTGTCTTGTGCCTTACAGAAGGGCATTAGTTCTCATGAGAATAGGTTGTTATAAAAAAATAAAAAAGCAAGCCTGCCCCCATCTAGTCTCTTGCTTTCTTTCTTGCTCTCCCACCCCTTGCACGTACTCCTCCTGATTTATGATGCTATACATCATGAGGTCTGCACCAGAATGCTTTTGGACCTCCCAGACTGTGGGTTAAATAAACTTCTTTATAAAGTACTCAGTCTCAGGTATTTTGTTATAGCAATCAAAATGGCTAATACTGACCTAGGAGATTTGTGGACTATATTTTGGGAAACACTGTTCTGATAGACTCATTTTACAAAATGACTTCCCTCTCATTTAGAATCTGGATATCTTTATATCTGTGTGTTCATTTTATGTTTTTATGTCTGAATAATGTTAAGCAAGTTTAAGGAGCAGAAGAGCCACTGAGTATGCGTAAAAAGTTATTTATCATGACATTGAAGCTTATTTTCCTCAAAGCAAATAGCCAATCATCTGGAGGGAGGATATCTTTTGGGGGTAAAAGCTGAACGAACATGAAGTAGCTGCTGAATTCCAGAAACAAACTGATGGACTATGAAAAAAACTTTGGAATGACTAAATCTCAATCTTGATTCTGTTACTTATGCTGGCTGGGCCAAAATTCTTTCTTCCTCTGGCCTGTTTGAAACACTACTAGCTTGGTGTTTTGTATACTTTCACCTAAATTGAAGCATATGTTTAAGTCCTCAAAGAATTTTGACCTTAGCTGGAAGTACCCTGCCACTGTGTTAAGTTTCGTTGAAGCATTATGTCTTACTTTTAAAATTAAGGTGATTTTTCTTGCCTTCTATTCCATCACATATGTACATTAACTTTACTATAAAAGTAATGCTTAAAACTAAATACCCCATAGCATTGCTCCCATAGCATTGCTTCCTGCTGTCTCTCCTCTCAGAGGTCTCTCTATTCTTGAGTCTGAAATAGGCAAGATGATTCTAAAGATTCCTAACAGTTCATTGACCTATGATTTAACAAAGGTGTTTAAGTAAATTAGTCTTTTGATGTACTAACCTCTGCCTCTGAATCACATTTTTCTGATGTCTAGGGATTGAGCAAGTATTTTGAAACAACAACAACCAACCAAACAAGAAGAAAACCTCACCTAAAAGGTAACTACTATTTTAATGTAAACGATGTAGTGGTAAATTATTGACCTAGTTCATAAAAGATTTTGTGATTCTCTAAACTCTCTGAGCTCTGTATGAATTCACTGGCCTCAAATTAAACTTGTGCTTATCAGAGTGTAGTCTGGAAGAAAAAAAAATCCAACTTGACATAAAAACCCATGATGGGATTTCATGCAACTAAAGTTGGTTGAGGGCACTTTGTTACCCTGGTAAAATGTATTGATCTTTGTGTGTCTCACATCAACTCCATGTGAGCCCCTGGGCCTTGAATGAGCTCTCCAAATTGGATATTTCTTGACCTCTTTGCTCTTAGAACAAAAGACAATTTGACAAAAATTCTAAACAATTTGAATTCTGTTATCTTCCATAATAAGTCCTCACTGTGGTTCCAGTGTAGAGTCAGTGAACTTAAAATAAATTCTATGTAATTCAGTAAGGAGTGGGAGAGATACAAACTACCTTGAAGAAATACGGTTCAATTTCATGAAACCAGGGGGTCTCTCAGACGCTTTTCAAAAGGTGGCAGTTACTGTCTAGTGCCATAAACCAAGTCCTAGTGAGACTCCAGAATGGACTCCATTCAACTGAATTCAGAAGGAACTGATGTCAGACAATACATTAATTTGCACTAGGAAATATAATTAATAAGGAGGATAAATTTGTATTTTTTTTGATAAGCAGATCTGTACCACATCATGCAAGTAGACACATCAAAAACATGTAATCATCATTAATAGTTTACTTGGTGAACACAGAATTAGGACACAAAATTTAATTGCAGACCTTGATGGTTTTAGGGCAATAAATTATGTCAGTGTGATGGATCCATCTCTGCCATAGGCAGATAGTAAGCTAACTTCATGTACTGAAGCAGGTTCTTGTCATAGTGACATTGGGCCTGAACTCTGCACACAGGCTACTTTGGATCAAAATCTCACTCACCAACTTACAGCTTTGTGACTTTTGATACCTTTCTTATTCATTGACCCTCACCTTCCCCTCTGTAAAATTCAGCACTACTCTGTTCTATTCTTTTTATAGACTAACTTGTGGCAGAAAATCCAATTTTCCTTATTTCCTGGTTTTTGGAGTGCATCTCAATGTCACCCCCCTGCAGCCACTCAGACTTCAAATTGAAATTTCACTGCCCTACCTATTCACAGAAAAGAAAGTTGGTTGAAAGAAAATTCTTATCTCATAAAAGAACTCAATGACCAACTTTATGAACTGTTAAACTTCTGAAAGAAAAGTGAAGCCTTATTGTCCCTTTTCTTTCTAGATGGCCTCCAAATGTGACAGTTACTGATAGTCAAGGTTTCATAAAGAAAGCTTGCAGAAGAGAAAAAAATGTCAGTTTAAACTCAGCGGCTGTTTTCAATACCTCATTAATCTCTTCATGTTTCTCACATATGCTACATGAAGCCATTGGCACGTTAAATTCAAATTTTACTGGCTATCATTCTTTTTCAGAGAAATATAGTTTAAGAAGAAAACAATCAGTTTCATCCAGTTATCCTAGTGGATCACTTAAATTTTAATAAGACAATGAAAGTCACTGACAAGCAAACAGATCTTGCTAAATATTCAAGGAATCAAAGAAGAAACTGCTAGCTAGTAACTATACCACAGGGATAAAGAGTCACAATTCAAAGCCCATAAACAATATATTAATTGATTAAGTTTGCTTAGGCCCAGACAGAACACACTAAAATTTATAAAGAAGCAGATGATTAGAATAAATGCCCCAGTTACCCTAAGAATTCAACAAATATTTATGAAATAGATTCTAAGTTCTGATCTTATGGTAGACACTGAGATACAATGGTGAGCAGAAATTAACTGGTCCTCAAGGAGAGTAGTGTAAGGGGAGACTTTGGTGTTATTCAAATAATCACACAATCAATGTGAAATTTCAAATGGGTTATGCCTTATGAGGGAGGGCTCTTGTAGGAAAATTTGACCTAGAAAGGTAGGTTAAGGAAAGCTCTCTCTGAGGAAGCATGAAATGAGCTGAGATATGAAACATGAATGGATGTGAATTAAATGAACAGTGGGAAGTGAAAGCTAGTACCCCATACAGAGCTCACATAGCAAGAAGGATAACATGAGTTTAAAAGACCATATCAGTGAGTAAAAATGGGAGCCAGGGACCTTAGTGTATAATCTGATAGGATTCACACCGCCAATACAGGCACAACAAAAAGGGTGCATCAACAAAAACATACGAGTGTAAAAGAGACTGAAAGAAAGAAAAAGATGAAAGAAAGCATGTAGAAAACTTGCAATGTGTATTTATTATTTATATAGTGTTAGCATTTACTGGAGGAGAGGAAAAATGGTTTAAAACTGTAGAAGACATCAATTTCAGCAAAGCAGAAATGTTCAGCATTCTTTTTTCCTGTAAGAGGCTTCCTTTTATTCTTCATATGATTCGTAGTCAAAGCTATCAAGATCTTTACTCATTTTCTGATTTCCAAAGACTGAGGAATGGAGAAATCATTTCTTTTTTCAACAGTGGAATTGAGAATACTGTAAAAACAATGGCAAGATCAGTTTCATTCATTAGCAAATCCCCTATTTCTATTGAGTTCCTAGGACACAGTAGGTGATCAATATATTTGTTGAATAAAAGATGTGAAAAACATAGACTTTATTTTTCTGTTTCAATCTTCAACACTTTTTACTTTCTTTCATTTTCTTTCATTTGTTCTTTTTTTTTTTTTTTTTTTGTGTTTTGTTTGCTCATATTGCCCAGGCTGGGCTGGCCTTGAATGCCTAGGCTTAAATGATCCTTCTACCCTGGACTACAAGTATGTAGCACCACATCTGGCTCCATTTTGTGATTTTAAACTGGAAACAGAAATGGGACAAAGAGATTCCCTTCCCTTCATCTGCCACTGCAGAGCATGTAGTGCCAGCCTGTGATAGTTAAGGTGGATTGTGAAGTTGGTTGGCTCGAGAGGCACCTAGGGAGCTAGTGGGGAACAGTTCTCTGTATGTCTGGGTTGGGCCATCAGAAACATGGTCCCTAGCCCTTCCCTCTCTTGCAGTGTTCCATTGGTTGGTTTCATGGCTACAATGAAATGAGGAATTTTGCTCTGCCGAGTCCTGCCATCATGATGTCTCTGCTTTGGAGGCAGTTGAACATGGACTGACACCTCTCAAAGCGTGAGCCAAAATAAACCTCTCCTCCTTTACATTACTGGTGCTGGTCATTTTGTCCCAGCAACTGGAAAGCTGACTAATACCCAGTCCTCATGAGATTATGTCTGCTGACATTGCACAGTGAACAGGGTGGCCACATTGATGTGTTGTTTTGCAAAAGAAGACAGCAGAGAGCTCACAGATGGTGAGCCAGGTGCAGTCTATTTTTTTGTAGGAACAGAGGGAGCAGGTTGGGGGTCTAAAGCAAGAACAATTCCTTTCATGTGTAACCACCATTACCCACTTGGTGTATATTATTCTAGACTATTTTTTAAAATGTATAAGTTTTATATTAATTTGTATGTTGATTTCTAAAACACAACAAAATATATTATATTTTTACTTCTCATGGATTTCCTCTAATGCATATCATAAAAATCTGTCACATTCTACTTTTCTCTTGCATACAGCTATATATACTTTAAAAATTTTGTTTACTTATAAATACTGGTATAATATTATAGTTGTTCTTTTCTTTTTACTTTTTAGTTAGAAAACCATAAACAACAGAGCTGAAATGGCTCATTATTTCAAAACTTAAATTATTCTTTTTGACATAAAAAGGCATTCATGTACGTGGTGAAAAAATTAAATAACTACCAATAAGATTTCATAAAAAGTAAATATCAGCTAACCTTATTTTCTTTTCTCAAATTGAACTGCTGTTATAGTATCCTGTGCATATTTCTAGAAATAAAGCTGCACAATTCATGATGGTGTATACGCAGCTAAAGGTGAAGCATACTATATGGAATATTGTGTACCTTGCTTATTCTCTTTAACAAAATATCCCAGGAAACCTTTTGCCCATTTCTCAGGCCATTTTCTATGCACATTGTTTCTAAAATGCTCTAATAAGACTTCCTAATATTCAGAGTTCACCTTAGTGTTCCTGAGTACAAATTCAGCTCACACAAATCCACCAATGTAAAAAACACAACATCACCTTGATGTTGGATTTTGACTAAGGTGTGTTTGTTGTAGAAACGGATGATTTACATTGAAAATTTGTACCTTAGTCTCAGCGTCATAGCCACAGACCCAAGTTTTATCCCCCATGATCAGATTTCTTAAAAAGCTACAGTCTGAAGCTGAAGGACTGCACAACTTCAATGAAACAGACAAGTGCTATTTTTTTTGTTCCACAGTGAAAAGACATGAAACACATTTTGTAGTTATTTGGCTCATGTTCAAATCTGTTAAAATGTTTTAACAGAGCCTTATGAAGAGTCATAAGGGATATTCAGATCCTCAGAAACTTCTTTAATAGTCAATCATCTGTTTGATTGAACAATATTGTTGAACAATATTTCAACATTCTCTCTCTCTCTCTCTCTTTTATGTTGAAGGAAGTCCCAATCTCTCCTTGTCTGTAACTGATTCACAGCTACTGCAAAATAACTCGAACCAATGTAAATTGTCTTTCTGGTCACTGCAGCATCACCATAAACTAATTTTAACATTTTATGTGTTCCTTTAGTATATTTTTGCAGTTTGAAACAAAATTTTATATTAATGTGTTGTTTGTGATCTACAATCTTGGCACAATTTACAACACACTTTCTCTCAATTGTAGCTCACAATCAATGGACTATACTGAACAGGTTGAAACTTACAAGCACTGCTACTAAGGTTTGATTCCTGCTTCTTGTATGGAAAAATCCCTGTCTTTTTATTGAATGGTACTCAGCAACAGCATTCACCGTGTTTGTTTTTTGATCATACCTCATGTATAGTCTGTGTTTAAATCCCAGCTCTATTACTTACTAATTCTATGACCTTCAGTGATTTATTTAACTTATGAGTGCCTCAATGTCCTTATCTCTAAAATGAGGATGTAAAAATACCTATCTTATTTTGTTGCAAAGATTAAGTGAGCTAGTCCACACATTATATTTGCCACAGTGCTTTGCACAGTGTTCGCTAGCTGGTAATGTTAGATCAGCACTTAGTACTATTAAATTATATAATTTTCTTGTATCTCTGTAATGATATTATTATTTTGTCAACACGTAGAAGTCTATATCATTCATTTTTATTTTGCTTTTAATACACTTTTTTTTTGTACTGGGGATCGAACTCAGGACCTTACACTTGCGAGGTGGGTGGGGGCACCACTGAGGTAAATCCCTGGCCCTTTAATAAACGTTTTATAATGGAAAATTTTAAATGGACAAGAATGAAGAGAATATCATGACACATTACCCCACACCTGTCACTTAGCTTTAGAAATTATCACCACGTTTACAAACTTGTTTCATATATCTCCTCCATTTTAAAATGGTCATCTTAAAACCTATTTTAAGAATCATGTATTTTACACGTAAGTACTTTTCAGTTTAAAACTGAAATGTTTTAAAAATGTAACTTTTTTCCCATTATCACATCATTCTTTAATATTTAAAAAATCTTATCTATATTCAAATTTCTCTAGTTGGCTCAAAAATGTTTTCTTATAACTGATTTATTCGGGTCAGTTTCAAGTGCAATCCATACACTGCATAGGTTGCTATGCATTTTTATTTTTTTCCTATAGCAGTCTCCCCTTCCTTGTCCTCATTTTTGCCATTGACTTGGAGAAACATGGTTTTATATGATGCCCCATATTTTGACTTGGCTGGTTGTTTCTTCATTGTGTCATGTAATGTGTTCCTCTATTTCCCATATTTGTCATATTTGGTGGTTCAATCTAGAATCTTGAGCACATGTACTTTCTAGGTGTCACAAATTGCCATTTCATGGGTAAGAGTTATCTTTCTAAAAGTTGCACTGTGTTCCTCTGGATGGATGTGCCATAATGGATTTAGTCATTCTATGGATAGCACTACACAGAACTGCTGTGTACAAGTGTCTTTGTACATTTGCATGAATATTACTGGTGTGGGAATTCTGTGTCAAATGGTAGACTCCAGATACTGCTTAAACATCAAATTCAAGTCTCTTATTGTTCTTTTTTTAAAAATTAATTTCATTTGTACATTTTAGGGATACAATATAATGACATTCATCTTTGGAAATTTGCACCTTTACATAATCTCTCTTGGTTCTTATTTTTTCCCCTTTCCCCTGCCCTCCCTTCAACCTCTCCATCCCTCCCTATTTACAAAGACTTTCTTTCCATTTTTTCATTGTCTCATATTAATTCCATTCCCTTCTTTCCTTTCCCCTACCCCTCTCACTTCCCCTGCCCCTTTGCCCCTTTTCTTCCTATTTCACATTATCTGGTATGCCTTTTAGTCCTGATTTATACTTTCAGTTTCTCATACTAGAGAAACTATGTGGTATTTGCACGTGTGTCCTATTTATTTCACTTAAGAGTATCATTTCAGTGTACATCCATTTACCTAAAAATGTCTCTAATTTCTCATTTTTTTTATGGCTGAGTAGTAGTCCATTTTATACAAAAAACCCAAATTTTCTTTATCCAGTCTCCAGTTGATGGGCAATTGGGCTGCTCCCAAGTTTTAGCTATTACAAATTGTGTTGCTATGAAAATGGGTGCACATATATCACTGTGGTATGATTCTTTTAATTCTTTGGGGAAGATACCCAGCAAGGGAATAGCTGGGTCAAATGGAACTTCCAGTC